CCAGAACTGCCGCGCTGCACACCGACAATGGCTTACTCAACCACTTCACTCGCCAACCCGATCCCGCTCCTTCGTCTCGAGCCGGACGGTACATGCTCCAACTACAAGGCTTGGCGCTATGGTGTCGACAAGCACCTCCTCAGTCGCGAGGTGAAGGGGCTCGAGCTCACCGACGTCCTTCTCAACATCGGTGACGGCAAAGAGCCTCCTAAACCCAAGAGGTCCGCCGATCCAGCTAATGCCGCCGCTGAAGCAGTTTATGCTGCTGCACTGCTCAAGTACAAGAATTGGGAGAAGGCCGATGGTGCGGTCATTAGTGTCTTCATGGGCACCACTCCTCCCGAACTCGTCGAAACCTACCACAACTACCCGTCTGCCAACGCCATTTGGCTCTACCTCGAGGATCGCTTCCTGAACAAGACTGCAGTGGGAGTTGCTATACTCATCCCCAGCATGTTCCAAGTGCGGCTCAAGGACTCGCCAGGCATGGCGGACTATGTCACCAAGGTGCAGTCCATTCATGGTGAACTCAAACAGTTGGGGATAGTCTTCCCCGAGCAAGCCCCTGCAGCCGCTCTCCTAGTCGGCCTCACTCCGGCATACGAAGTCACACACAAGATGCTCTTGGGCCTTGCTCCTGCAGACCTCACATTTGCCAAGGTCTCATCCGCGCTCCTTTCTGCCGAAAAGGACAACAGCGCTCAAACCAAGGCCAATGCAATCCGCGCTCCTGTGCCTCAAGCCTATGCCGCTTCCGTGCCATTCCAGCGCAACCGCTTCCCCCGTTGTCCCTATGTAATCAAGCACGGCCCTTGTGCCGGCCAGGTGTGTGGCGGCACCAACCACGCCCTTGCCTCCTGCTTCAAGAAAAAGGATGACGATTGGTATGCCGTCAATGGGACCGCCTCGAAGCCGCCAAGCTGGATGGTCAATCGTGCTCCTCGCAACGTCAATCAAGTCGAAGCGCAGGAATCCGTGCAGGCTGCTGTAGCTCCCACTGCTGATTTGCGCCTCAACATGTTGTTCCCTGGCACAGCCATGATTAATGAGACAATTTCGCAGTGTCCCGGCTCACAAAGCACCTCAGCCACAATAGAGTTCACCCTCGACAGTGGGGCCACTCACACGGTTCTCAAGGAAGAACACTCCTTCAAGCCATACGAGACACCAATCCGTCTACTAGGAGCAGACTCCAGTTTCACAACACACGCCAAAGGCTCCTCCACAGTTCCGTGCCCAGCTTTTCCTTCGGGCAGTGTCACCGGCATGTGTGTTCCCACACTACGCCACAATCTCGTGGCCCAACACGAGCTCCAACGGGCAGGCGTCACCACGATCTTCCCAGCACACTCAGATTGCTGTGACCTCCTCGACCCTAAGTCCAACAAGCTCCTAGCACGCTTCACACTCAACAGCAGCAAGCTCTACACGCTGCGTTCACCTGCACCTCTCGCCGCCCTCTCCCAAGCGCAAGCTGCCAGCACCACTCCGTGTTCGTGTCGCAGCTTCGCCAACCCAACCATCCTCTACCACCATCGCTTGGGTCACCCCAACTTCCGTACACTTGCCGACATCGCTTCCAAGAAACTTCTTCTTGGCCTCCCGTCGGCGCTTCCTCCACCAACAGACTCACCTGCACCCACCTGCCTGGACTGCACCAAGAGCAAGCTCAGGCAGCAGCCGCACCCTTCCTCCCCATCCATCGCAGCTGCTCCGCTGGACCTAGTGCACATGGATGTCTGGGGCCCAGCTCCAGTCGCATCCCGAGGCGGTCATCGGTACTTTCTTACACTAGTCGATGACCACTCGCGGTATGTTTCTGTGCACCTCCTGCATACCAAGGCGGAGGCACCTGATGTCATCATGGCGTGGGTGCGCCAGGCTCAAGTCACGTTCGGCACTCCTCTGAAGTGCCTCCATTCTGATGGCGGGGGAGAATTTCGCAATGGCAAACTCGATATCCGCATCCCCACCGGCCCGACACCACACCTACCGCTCTCTGGCTTGGGGTCACGCCTTCCGCCCACTCTCTACGCGTCTGGGGGTGTACCGCGTATGTGTTGCTAAGCCCCCACACGTGCAGGAAGCAAGGTGGCAAGCTTGGTCCCAAAACCCAGACCTGCATGTACCTGGGGCACAACTCCGACTCCCCAGACTACTTATTCCTCAACCCAATCACCAGACAGCTGATTCGCAACCGTGATGTCGTCTTCGATGAGACACGCCCATTCCACTCTGCGACCACGGGCGAGCCTCCTCCACCTCCCCCGACGCTTGTTTGGGCAGACTTCCATGCCCCACCTCCGGCCGCTGCCCCTTCTCCGGGGCCTTCTCTGTCCGGCTTGTTTCGCCCGGCCTCCCCAGTATCCTCCGCAGCGGCACCTCCTCCTGCTCCGCCTTCCCCGCGCGTCAAGCCCGGCTCACCAGTCTCCTATCGGAGGCGCCCAGTCTCTCCTGTCCCACCGCAGCCGCCTTCGTCTCTAGTCTCTAGTCGCACTCGTTCCAAGGGACCGGCTCCACCTCTCGCCTGGGGACCAGCCGCCTTCTCCATCCAGTGTTCAGTCACCCCGCCTCCTCCTGCCGGGGGTGATGTCCCCTCCATCCGAATTCCGCCCCGTGCACTTCTGGAGGACAGGCATGAGGAGCTGTTTGACCTTCACGCGGTCTGCCAATTTCTCTCTCACATCTTCCCAGGCATTAGTGACTGCCCTTCCCTCAACTTCACCGAGAACCCAACCATTCCGACTCCTCGCACAAAAGAGGAAGCTCTCTCGGGGCCTTATAAGGAGTGGAAGGCAGCAATGGATGTGGAGAACGAGGCGTTCATTCGCAACAACAGCTTTGACGATGTTGTTCCCCCTTCCGGTGTCAACATCGTCGGCGGAAAATGGATCTTCCGAGTCAAACAACTCCCAGGCGAAGCTCCACTGTTCAAGGCACGATACGTGGCGAAGGGTTTCACCCAGAAGGAGTATCTCGACTTCTTCGAAACATTCTCGCCCACGGCCAAGCTCCCGACTGTGCGCGCTCTTCTTGATATAGCCGCTCGCGGCAACTTCGAGATCAAGTCCATGGACGCCTCCTCCGCCTTTCTCCAAGGCCAGCTCAAGGAGGATGTTCATATGGAACGCCCACCGGGGTTTCCTGGCACTTACCCTGCCAACACAGTGTGGAAGCTGAAGCACCCAGTGTATGGCCTCAAGCAGGCTCCTCGTGAGTGGCACAACAAGGTGAAGGAAGTCCTCCTCGCACTTGACTTCCATCCCTCTGCCTCAGATTCCAGTCTCTTCGTTCATCACTCCTCCGAGCCCTTCTACATCCTCGTCTACGTCGACGACTTCATTCTAGCCGCCAGAGATCCAGCCGACATGGCAGCTGTCCAGTCTGCTCTCAGCTCCGCCCTTCTCATGAAGGATCTTGGTGACCTCAAGAACTACCTGGGGATGGAGATCACTCGTGACCGCCAGGCTTGCACGATCACCCTCTCCCAGGAGTCCTACATTGACAACCTTCTCAAGCGGTTCGACATGGACTCCAGTAACTCTGTCTCCACTCCACTCCCACTACAGCATCAGCTCACGGCCCCTCCAGTTCCTTCTCCTGACGCCTGCAAGGACCCGTACCCTGAGCTAGTCGGTTCACTCATGTATGCCATGATGTGCACTCGACCAGACTTGGCTTACCTGGTTAGTGTCCTCTCTCCGTACGTCTCCCCCGGACGCTACACTGCCTCGCATTGGTCTGCCGCCAAGAGGGTCCTCCGCTATCTACAAGCCACCAAGTCTCACATCCTCACTCTTGGTGGTGCCTCTCCAGTCAAGCTCGAGGGATACACAGACTCCTCATGGGCCGATGACCAGACTGACAGACGCTCCTCCCAAGGGTACTGCTTCACTCTTGGTAGCGGAGTCATCAGCTGGCGCTCCACTCGGTCCTCTGCAGTCTCCCTGTCGTCCTGCGAGGCCGAGCTCTACGCGGGCACAATGGCTGCTCAAGAGGCACGCTGGCTCTCCTTTCTCCTCGCTGAGTTAGGCTAACCCCAGCAGTCGCCCACCCTATGGTGTGACAACCAGAGCGCCATTCACCTCACCAAGGATCCTGTGTTCCACTCTCGCACCAAGCACATCGAACTTCGTCATTTCTTCATCCGAGATCTTGTTCAGAGTGAACAGCTGACGGTACGGTACATCGCCTCAGATTGCAACCTCGCCGACCTCTTTACCAAGGCTCTCGGCAAGGCTGACCACCATCGCCTTCTCCGTTCCATGGGGCTATGTGCTCCTTGATCGGGTTTGTAGTCTATGGGGGTGTGTTAGAAATAGACTGCAAATACCACTTTTGTATTTGTACTTTAATATCCTAGTTTAGCTTATGAATGTTCTAGTGGGTTGGGGTGTACTCACAAATCCCAACCTCACCCAATTGTGATCCCCCCAATCTCCAATTACCCAATTGGAGATTCCGGAGATCCCAATGGGGATTCCCTCCAATTCCCCCTTCATCCATTCACTCTCACCTTGCCATGTATTTATAGAGCCTTGGGCTCCTTACCTAATCAATCATTTCAACTCTATTTCTTACATTTAGCATTTCTGTAAGTCGATTATGTGTAGTTAGTGTCGAATCATACTATAGAAGATAAGTCCGTAGGATGACGTCAGCAAATAGCGCTCGTCATAGGACAGTCGTTTCAGTCACGCGAACAGTCGCACCTCTTCATTATCATCTAGGGCGCATAGCGCGATAGTGACGAACAGGTACATTAGCGAATAGTTACTTTTCCTAGAACTATAAATCCTTGTCAGGTCTTTTCATTATTAACTTTGGTTATTCACAAGTTCACGTACTCAGGTTATTCAACCTTGACCTTTATATTTTACAAGACTTCCGCTGTCTTACTAGTCTACCATTCCAGCAAAGATCCTGGACCAACACTTGAGGATTTGCCAAGTGTTCGTGTTTATAGTTTTATACTTAGTCTACTACAACTTCAGACGATTTATTTCATGGTATGAGAGCTATCTGGAATTAAGACTACCGTCAACTATGACTGGTTCAACACCAGCACCATCTGCTGGATCAGTTACTGGGACTACTGGAGCATATGCCTCCACTACCGCCGCTGGTCTCTCAGCCTCTGGGCACTTTCCACCAGCCTATGCTAATATCGGTATGCAACAGCAGAATCCGCCATCTGTGAATACTCCAGGTGCTCCATCGACTGCACCTGTAGCGCAACAACAACAATCACAGACAACAACACAGCAAGAAGCGTTAGTACAGCCACCAATTTCAACGCAATCGATTTCATCTGCATTCAGTGGAATGAGCCTTGACGGCTCAAGTTACATGCGTGGAGCTACAGCTCCAAGTACTGGTTCGTTCGCTTTCTCACCTTTCGTACAGCAGCCGCAGTCGCAGCAGTTTCAGCATCCTTTCTATATCTTCGGTCGTTCCCCTGCTCAGCAACAACAACAGCAGTATCAGCAACCACAGCAAGTACAGCAACAGCAACAGCAACAACAACAGCAACAACAACAACAACAGCAACAGCAACAGCAACGGCAACAACAGCAACAGCCAGGCATTGTTTTTCAGCCTCCAAATTTACTTAACAATACTCAGATCAAGACAACCGTACCTTTTAATGGTGTTGACTTCTACTCCTGGAGCTTTGAGTTTGAACTTCTGGCGCAGTCCGCTGGGCTATGGCCGTTCTTCACTAGCGAATTTACGTACCCTGTCGTGGGAACACAACTGGAGCAGCAGAGTTTCTTGCACGCCTCTCTCAGGGCGTATACAGTTCTTGTACGGAACTTGTCGCCGAAGGAGCAGCTTGGCGTTCGATCATTTCACTCAAGTTTCACACCAGCCGAAACTCCATGGAACCATCTGAAAGGGGTATACATGGCAAAGGATACGATAACAGTGAGTAAAATACTTTCGCAGCTGACAAGTGTGCAGATGATGACAAACGAAAACGCCATGAACTACGTTAACCGTGTCCGTACACTACTGTTAGAAATAGACTGCAAATACCACTTTTGTATTTGCACTTTTATATCCTAGTTTAGGTTATGAATGTTCTAGTGGGTTGGGGTGTACTCACAAATCCCAACCTCACCCAATTGTGATCCCCCCAATCTCCAATTACCCAATTGGAGATTCCGGAGATCCCAACGGGGATTCCCTCCAATTCCCCCTTCATCCATTCACTCTCACCTTGCCATGTACTTATAGTGCCTTGGGCTCCTTACCTAATTAATCATTTCAACTCTATTTCTTACATGGTATCAGAGCGACCTATCCGCAAGCGCGGATCAAGGTCCTAATCTCAACGTGCCCGCGCTACGAGCACTTCATCGTCGCGACATTCGTTTCGAGTCATCGGAATTTCGACGTGCTCCACTCTGCAGTCACGCCTCTCATCGTCGACCGCCTTCACGCTCGACCTCGTTGAATTTCTCATCTCTGAAGCTTTCACGCTTCTCGTCGTCGATTTCCTCCTCGGTTCTCCTTGGTCGAATCTCAATTTCGACCATCTCTTAAAACTCGTTCTCGAGTTTCCCCTCAGACCCCGCCACAATAGGCGAACTCCCCTTGCAAAATCGCCTCCACGAACGTCTCGCGTCAAATCAAGAGAGTAAGAAATAGAGTTGAAATGATTGATTAGGTAAGGAGCCCAAGGCTCTATAAGTACATGGCAAGGTGAGAGAGAATGGATGAAGGGGGAATTGGAGGGAATCCCCATTGGGATCTCCGGAATCTCCAATTGGGTAATTGGAGATTGTGGGGATCACAATTGGGTGAGGTTGGGATTTGTGAGTACACCCCAACCCACTAGAACATTCATAAGCTAAACTAGGATATAAAAGTACAAATACAAAAGTGGTATTTGCAGTCTATTTCTAACACACCCCCATAGACTGCAAACCCGATCAAGGAGCACATAGCCCCATGGAACGGAGAAGGCGATGGTGGTCAGCCTTGCCGAGAGCCTTGGTAAAGAGGTCGGCAAGGTTGCAATCTGAGGCGATGTACCGTACCGTCAGCTGGTCACTCTGAACAAGATCTCGGATGAAGAAATGACGAAGTTTGATGTGCTTGGTGCGAGAGTGGAACACAGGATCCTTGGTGAGATGAATGGCACTCTGGTTGTCACACCACAGGGTGGGCGACTGCTGGGGGTAGCCTAACTCAGCAAGGAGAAAGGAGAGCCAGCGTGCCTCTTGAGCAGCCATTGTGCCCGCGTAGAGCTCGGCCTCGCAGGATGACAGGGAGACTGCAGAGGACCGAGTGGAGCACCAGCTGATGACTCCGCTACCAAGGGTGAAGCAGTACCCTTGGGAGGAGCGTCTGTCAGTCTGGTCATCGGCCCATGAGGAGTCTGTGTATCCCTCGAGCTTGACTGGAGAGGTACCACCAAGAGTGAGGATGTGACACTTGGTGGCTTGTAGATAGCGGAGGACCCTCTTGGCTGCAGACCAATGCGGGGCAATGTAGCGTCCGGGGGAGACGTACCGAGAGAGGACACTAACCGGGTAAGCCAAGTCTGGTCGAGTGCACATCATGGCATACATGAGTGAACCGACTAGCTTAGGGTACGGGTCCTTGCAGGCGTCAGGAGAAGGAACTGGAGGGGCCGTGAGCTGATGCTGTAGTGGGAGTGGAGTCGAAACAGAGTTACTGGAGTCCATGTCGAACCGCTTGAGAAGGTTGTCGATGTAGGACTTCTGGGAGAGGGTGATCGTGCAAGCCTGGCGGTCAGGAGTGATCTCCATCCCCAGGTAGTTCTTGAGGTCACCAAGATCCTTCATGAGAAGGGCGGAGCTGAGAGCAGACTGGACAACTGCCATATCGGCTGGATCTCTGGCGGCTAGAATGAAGTCGTCGACGTAGACGAGGATGTAGAAGGGCTCGGAGGAGTGATGAACGAAGAGACTGGAATCTGAGGCAGAGGGATGGAAGTCAAGTGCGAGGAGGACTTCCTTCACCTTGTTGTGCCACTGACGAGGAGCCTGCTTGAGGCCATACACTGGGCGCTTCAGCTTCCACACTGTGTTGGCAGGGTAAGTGCCAGGAAACCCCGGTGGGCGTTCCATGTGAACATCCTCCTTGAGCTGGCCTTGGAGAAAGGCGGAGGAGGCGTCCATGGACTTGATCTCGAAGTTGCCGCGAGCGTCTATATCAAGAAGAGCGCGCACAGTCGGGAGCTTGGCCGTGGGCGGGAATGTTTCGAAGAAGTCGAGATACTCCTTCTGGGTGAAACCCTTCGCCACGTATCGTGCCTTGAACAGTGGAGCTTCGCCTGGGAGTTGTTTGACTCGGAAGATCCATTTTCCGCCGACGATGTTGACACCGGAAGGGGGAACAACATCGTCAAAGCTGTTGTTGCGAATGAACGCCTCGTTCTCCACATCCATTGCTGCCTTCCACTCCTTCTTATAAGGCCCCGAGAGAGCTTCCTCTTTTGTGCGAGGAGTCGGAATGGTCGGGTTCTCGGTGAAGTTGAGGGAAGGGCAGTCAGTAATGTCTGGGAACATGTGAGAGAGAAATTGGCAAGCCGCGTGAAGGTCAAACAGCTCCTCATGCCTGTCCTCCAGAAGTGCACGGGGGGGAATACGGATGGAGGGGACATCACCCCCGACAGGAGGAGGCGGGGTGACCGAACACCGGATGGAGAAGGCGGCTGGTCCCCAGGCGAGAGGCGGAGCCGGTCCCTTGGAACGAGTGCGACTAGAGACCGGAGACGAAGGCAGCTGCGGTGGGACCAGAGGGACTGGGCGCCTCCGATAGGAGACTGGTGAGCCGGGCTCGACGCGCGGGGAAGGCGGAGCAGGAGGAGGTGCCGCTGCGGAGGATACTGGGGAGGCCGGAGGTGGGCATCGAAGTCTGCCCAGACAAGCGTCGGGGGAGGTGGAGGAGGCTCGCCCGTGGTCGCAGAGTGGAATGGGCGTGTCTCATCGAAGACGACATCACGGCTGCGAATCAGCTGTCTGGTGATTGGGTTGAGGAATAAGTAGTCTGGGGAGTCGGAGTTGTGCCCCAGGTACATGCAGGTCTGGGTTTTGGGACCAAGCTTGCCACCTTGCTTCCTGCACGTGTGGGGGCTTAGCAACACATACGCGGTACACCCCAGACGCGTAGAGAGTGGGCGGAAGGCGTGACCCCAAGCCAGAGAGCCATAGGTGTGGTGTCGGGCCGGTGGGGATGCGGATAAAGATTGTAGAGGAGTGCCGCATGGAAGAGGGCATATCCCAGAGTGACCGTGGTGCGTTGGCGTGACTGAGGAGGCATCGAGCGATCTGAACCAAGGTGTGGTTGCGGCTCTCTGCAATGCCATTCCGCTGCGGGCTTTCGGGGAGCGTGAAGGTTTGCCGAATCCCTTGGGCTGCACAGAAGTTATCGAGTTTGCCATTGCGAAATTCTCCTCCGCAATCAGAATGGAGGCACTTCAGAGGAGTGCCAAACGTGACTTGAGCCTGGCGCACCCACGCCATGATGACATCAGGTGCCCTCCGCCTTGGTATGCAGGAGGTGGCACAGAAACATACCGCGAGTGGTCATCGACTAGTGTAAGAAAGTACCGATGACCGCCTCGGGATGCGACTGGAGCTGGGCCCCAGACATCCATGTGCACTAGGTCCAGCGGGGGCAGCTGCGACGGATGGGAGAAAGGGTGCGGCTGCTGCCTGAGCTTGCTCTTGGTGCAGTCCAGGCAGGTGGGTGCAGGTGAGTCTGTTGGTGGAGGAAGCGCCGACGGGAGGCCAAGAAGAAGTTTCTTGAAGCGATGTCGGCAAGTGTGCGGAAGTTGGGTGACCCAAGCGATGGTGGTAGAGGATGGTTGGGTTGGCGAAGCTGCGACACGAACACGGAGTGGTGCTGGCAGCTTGCGCTTGGGAGAGGGCGGCGAGAGGTGCACGTGAACGCAGCGTGTAGAGCTTGCTACTGTTGAGTGTGAAGCGTGCTAGGAGCTTGTTGGACTTAGGGTCGAAGAGGTCACAGTGATCCGAGTGTGCTGGGAAGATCGTGGGTGACGCCTGCCCGTGGAGCTCGTGTTGGGCCACGAGATTGTGGCGTAGTGTGGGAACACACATGCCGGTGACACTGCCCGAAGGAAAAGCTGGGCACGGAACTGTGGAGGAGCCCTTGGCGTGTGTTGTGAATCTGGAGTCTGCTCCAAGTAGACGGATTGGTGTCTCGTATGGCTTGAAGGAGTGTTCTTCCTTGAGAACCGTGTGAGTGGCCCCACTGTCGAGGGTGAACTCTATTGTGGCTAAGGTGCTTTGTGAGCCGGGACACTGCGAAATTGTCTCATTAATCATGGCAGTGCCAGGGAACAACATGTGGAGGCGCACATCAGTAGTGGGAGCTACAGCAGCCTGCACGGATTCCTGCGCTTCGACTTGATTGACCTGCGAGGAGCACGATTGACCATCCAGCTTGGCGGCTTCGAGGCGGTCCCATTGGCGGCATACCAATCGTCATCCTTCTTCTTGAAGCAGGAGGCAAGGGCGTGGTTGGTGCCGCCACACACCTGGCCGGCACGAGGGCCGCGCTTGATCACATAGGGACACGGGGAGAAGCGGTTGCGTTGGAATGGCGCCGAAGCGGCATAGGCTTGAGGCACGGGAGCGCGGATTGCATTGGCCTTGGCTGAGCGCTGTTGTCCTTTCGGCAGAAAGGAGCGCGGATGAGACCTTGGCAAATGTGAGGTCTGCAGGAGCAAGGCCCAAGAGCATCTTGCGTGTGACTTCGTATGCCGGAGTGAGGCCGACTAGGAGAGCGGCTGCAGGGGCTTGCTCGGGGAAGACTATCCCCAACTGTTTGAGTTCACCATGAATGGACTGCACCTTGGTGACATAGTCCGCCATGCCTGGGCGAGTCCTCGAGCCGCACTTGGAACATGCTGGGGATGAGTATAGCAACTCCCACTGCAGTCTTGTTCAGGAAGCGATCCTCGAGGTAGAGCCAAATGGCGTTGGTAGACGGGTAGTTGTGGTAGGTTTCGACGAGTTCGGGAGGAGTGGTGCCCCTGAAAACATTAATGACCGCACCATCGGCCTCTCCCAATTCTTGAACTTGAGCAGTGCAGCAGCATAAACTGCTTCGGCGGCGGCATTAGCTGGATTGGCGGACTTTCAGGTTTAGGAGGCTCTTTGCTGTCACCAATGTTGAGAAGGACGTTGGTGAGCTCCGAGCCCCTTCACCTCGCGACTGATGAGGTGCTTGTCGACACCATAGCGCCAAGCCTTGTAGTTGGTGCATGCACCGTCCGGCTCGAGACGAAGGAGCGGGATCGGGTTGGCGAGTGAAGTGGTTGATTAAGCCATTCCCATTTGATTTTCACGAGGCGACGCTCTTAAGTCACCGATAAGAATTTTGGTGCGCAGCGCAGCATTTCTGGAAATCGGTTGACGAGAATGCTGGAAAAATCACTCAGACGGCTTCGCCGAAATGCCGCTAAGAAGGAAATGGCGTCGGCGGGAATTTGTTTAAACATTGACTTGAAACAAAATCTGAGCCTAAGCTAACCCTGGACCCACACATCCCCCCACACACCCCCAGGCCCTGTCCCGTAGCTACACAGCTGTGGCAACCAGCTCCGCAACTGGCTTTGCAACCAGCTCCGCTCCGCTTCCACCAGTGTACCTGCTCTTGATTTGACGCGAGACGTTCGTGGAGGCGATTTTGCGATGGGGAGTTCGCCTATTCTGGCGGGGTCTGAGGGAAAACTCGAGAACGAGTTTTAAGAGATGGTCGAAAATTGAGATCGACCAAGGAGAACCGAGGAGGAAATCGACGACGAGAAGCGTGAACGCTTCAGAGATGAGAAATTCAACGAGGTCGAGCGCGAAGGCGGTCGATGATGAGAGGCGCGACTGCA